AGGTAAAAACATCCAATTGTAAGATAAACAAGTTCCAAGAATGTAACGTGACATGACTGTGGTTAACATTGCTGTTAACTATGTGATGCTCAGTAAAGTCATTAAAGAGTAGAGCCTAAGTGATCTAATCACAAGGAGATCTTTTTTCTTGTCTTTTTATTGTATCCATATGAAATGTTGATGCTAACTGAACCTACTATAGTCATCATTTCATAATATATATAAATCAAGCCATCATACTTGATGCCTTAAACTTAAGAAATACAGTGATGTGAGTCAATTATTTCTCAATAAAACTAGAAAAATCTTACTATTTGGCCTTTATGAAAATCTTACCAATTCTTAAGCTATAGGACATATCTAGTATTCTGTTAAAACCACTGTAATAGGGCTTGCTATGTTTACTTTCCTTAAGTCTAGCCAGTAAATTTCTATATGCACTATTCTTGAATTTCTAGAATACATGTGTAAAGAAATGTTGTCAAAAGTCAGATCGAGATTATGTTGCCTTCCCTAACACAGCCCTAGTTGTGTTTTCAAGAAGCATAAAACTCAATTTCACTGATCTGAAAATAATATCAGAAGTAATTAAATTCTCGGACCATCACAAATTAAACTTAGTTCTCTGGCCAAATTGCAACAAATGTTCTGTGTGGCTCCACTTCTGTTACATTTACAAGTTGGATTAGATTCTTCTTCTTCTTCTTTTTTTTTTTAACTAAATTGGACCAATTTTTGGAAGAAATCATTCCATTCTGGAAGCTTCCTCTGAGGCACATGTTCATTTATTGCCTGATGTGAGATGCTCTTATTGATGAACTATCTACATTACTCCCATGTTGGATCATCCGGTCCCAAGGGTTTAGATAGCATATATAAACTCTATATTCTTACCGATCTCAACTTACTCACTTTCTCGGCTCCCCCGACATTTCCCTGCATCTTATTTTTGTCCAGAATTACAGTCTCAGTCACCCCCAGCCTCATCTGCTTTGCTTCAGACTCCAGCTAGTTGTGGACACCCCATCCTTCTAACATCTCAGGCTAAACAGCTTGGATTCAGCCTCAGACTGCTCTCTCATATTCTGTATCAGAACTAAAAGACAATCTTATCAGTCCAAAAAATCCCCACCCAGAATCTTGTCCCTTCTCAGTATCTCCCTGCTTACCACCTCAGCCCTATCTCCTCTTGTGATAATTCACCAGCTTCCCAGTTGATCGCCCAATGCAGCAGCCAGAATGATCCTGCCAGAGGTTACATCAGACTTCTCCTCTGCTCAAAGCCCTCCAACTGTTACCAAGTTTAAGCTTGTATTACTTGCTGCATGACTGGCTGATACAGTGAGAGATGAGTTTTTAAGGCAAGGAATAGCAACTTTATTCGGAAAGCCAGCAGACTGAGAGGATGGTGGACTTGTGTCCCAAAGAACCATCTTATTTGAGTCAGAACCCAGGCTTCTTTTATAACTATTTAAGAGAGGAGGCAGTCAAACATTTTCTGGTTTTGGTCAGCCTCTGGAGGGGATGTATGAATTTCTTCCTCCCACAGTCATTCACAGGTGGGCCTATTCAGGCTGTTTCCTGTGGGTTAAACAGAAGTATTTTAGCTTAATGCTCATTACCTGGGAGGCAGGTTCCCAGAGATGGGCCACTATGTATAATTTAAGCTTATAGGCAACATCCCTTAAGATTAACAGCTGATCACTCCCCCAAACTCTGCAGTTCAGAAGGGAGTACCAGGAAATATTTAAAGCAATGAAAGGGAAAAACCTATAACCAAGATTACTCTAGCCAGTAAGGATCTCATTCAAAATCAGTGGAGAAATCAAAAGTTAAGCAAGAATTAAGAGAATTCAGTACCACTAAACTGGTTTTCCCTGGTAGTGCAGATAGTAAAGAATCCACCAGCAATGCAGGAAACCCAGGTTCAATCCCTGGGTTGGGAAGATCTCCTGGAGAAGGGAATGGCTACCCACGCTAGTATTCTTGCCTGGAGAATTCCATGGACAGAAGAGCCTGGTGGGCTACAGTCTCTGGGGTTGCAAAGAGTTGGACATGACTGAGCAACTAACATTTTCACTTTCAAACTGGCTTTACAACAAGTGCCAAAGGGATTCTTTGGGCAGGAAACAGAAGAGAAGGGAAAGACCTATGAAAACAAACCCAGAACAATTAAGAAAATGGCAATAGGAACATATATATAAAAAATGACTTTAAATGTAAATGGATTAAATGCCCCAACCAAATGACACAGACTGGCTGAATGGATACAAAAACAATATCCCTATATATGCTGTCTCCTAGAGACCCACTTCAGAGTTAGAGACATATAGAGATGAAAGAGAGGGGATGGAAAAAGATATTCCATGCAAATGGAAATCAAAAGAAATCTGGAGTAGTAACTCTCATATCAGGTAAAATAGACTTTAAATAAAGACCATTACAAGAGACAAGGAAGGGCATTGCATGATGATCAAGGGACCAATCAGAGAAGAAGACAGAACAATTGCAAATACTAATATACCCACCATAGTAGCACCTGAATACACAAGGCAAATGCTAACAGACATAAAAGAGGAAATCCACATTAACATACCAATAGTAGTAGACTTTAACATCCTACTTATACCAATAAACAGGTCATCCAGACAGAAAACTAGTAAGGAAACACAAGCTTGAAATGATACATTAGACCACATAGACCTAATTGATATCTATAGGATATTACATTCAAACACAGAAGAATGCATTTTTTTCCTCAAGTGCACACAGAACATTCTCCAGCATAGATCACATCTTGGATCACAAATCAAGCCTCAGTAAATTTAAGAAAATTGAAATTGTATCAAGCATCTTTTCTGACTATAACACTATGAGATTAGATATCACTTACAGGAAGAGAACTAAAAAGCACAAACAGCTGGAGGCTAAACAACACACTTCTAAATAACCAAGAGGTCACTGCAGAAATCAAAGAGGAAGAAAAAACAACGCTAGAAACAAATGACAATGAAAACATGCTGACTCCAAACCCATGGGATGCAACAAAAGCAGTTCTAAGGGGGAAGTTTATAGTAATACAATCCTACCCCAAGAAACAAGATAAACATTAAAATAAACAACTTAACCTTACACCTAAAACAATTAGAAAAAGAAAAACAAACAAACAAAAAAGCTCCCAAAGTCTGTGATTGTCTTAGAACGCAGAAGGTTCTGCTGTATCACATGGTGAGAGTCAGGGTGAAAGTCCCTGCAGCAGCCTGTGTGGTCCAGGCCCTGAGGCCTCCGCAGCGCATCTCCTCACTCCCCTCAAATTCTGCGGTGGATGCGCAGGCCACTCCATACTCCTGGACGCTGGTGACCACATCCTCCTTTGCATCTGGTCTTCTCTGTGCCTGCACCATCTGTGGAGCTTCCTTGCTCACTTACTCCATGTCTCTGCTCCAATATCACTTTATCAAAAAGGCTGTACTGACTGCCTTTGCCTCACCATCGCTCTCTTTCTAGAACATGCATAACTTTTACTATATCACCTACCACCACCTGGTATATGCTTTTTTACTTTTAGGATCTCAGAATAAGGACTTTGTTCATTGCTGTAAACCCAAGTACCTAGAAGAGTGTCTGATACGTGGGAAATTTTTAATACGTATTTTTGAATGAATGGTCACTTACCCATGTTCCTGGTTCCATGTTAAATCCTTTTCATACGTTACCCTATTGGATTCTCATGGCAGAAAATATCGTGACAGCCTTTTAATGTTGGTGAGTGATTTTCCCTAAGTCCCACAGACTGTAGGTACATCAAGATGTGCAGGTTTCAAATCACTAAGCTTTCTTATTGCCTCTTCTACTGCTTCTTATGAGAAGCTTACAAGAAATTTACAAAAAGATTACTAACATTATTAGATGTTAAAATTGAACCACGGGTACTTCTTGGACTCAGAACAGATTTGTGTTAGCAGTGAGAGGAGTTATATTCCACTTCACTTGTGCCTGAGGGCTTAAGACAGTAGATACAAAACATCCATATTCCAAACCCTGCAGCACCTGCAAATTTGATGTACACAAACTGGTCTTCTGGTGATTAGCCATTCTTTCTCAGTGAGAGAGTAAAAGGGTTGGGGTTCAACTGGCCAAGGAATTGAAGATAGAGGAGAGTTTTCTTTAGACCTAATACCTGCTATAGTGGGGGTGGAGAGATTTTCCCTAACACGTGTGAGGATTTTTTTTTTTTTTTTAAGGTGAGTCGCACACGTTTATTGCGGGTCCCAGGTGGGACGGGGCCCCGGCACGTGCTCCGGTGTGGTCTGGCCATGCAGCGCGTGCTCACTGCCTGGAGGACACCAGCTTCTTGCTGGAGCTGGCATGGAAGCAGCCCTGCAACGCAGGCAGAAGGCAGGTCAGGCCCCTTCCCGTGCGAGGGGCTTGCCTGCTCCTTGTGTGCGTGCGTGCGTGTGCAGGCGTGCCCGACTCTGTGTGACCCCATAGGCTGTAGCCCACCAGGCTCCTCTGTCCATGGGATTCTCAAGGCAAGAATACTGGAGTGGGTTGCCATTTCCTTCTAGTGTGAGGATTTAATGGAAGTACCCATACCCAGTGCGTGGGCGTACACAGAAACCACACAGCTTGCTGCAGTATTTTGGCAACTGGAGGGAGGCTGGAACCCGAGGACCAGAAGGCAGCGGGGGACAGAGCTGGAAGGTGAATAGGAGAATCCAGCCCAGCAGAGAAGGACAAACCTTGGGTTTTCCAAATATTCAGGAAGATTCAAATTGCAGTGTGATTTAAGACCTAGCAGCAGACACTCTGACTCTCTCTGGCCTCAGGAGGAAGTTTGAACACACAGAAGAGGGTAAAAGTGACAACAGAACAACCCCACCCGCCAGCTGCCCTGAACCAGGGCAGCCATGAGATGGTGAAGCCACCCCAGCCCCCTTAGTCCTGGTGGGACTGTCCTTCTGTCCCTGGAAGGTGGAGCGCGGTGGCCTCCAGCAGCAATGGACTCGGAGCGCAGTGGCCTCTGGCGGCGATGGACACGGTGCGTGGTGGCCTCCGGCGGCGATGGACGTGGAGCGCGGTGGCCTCCGGCGGCGATGGACGCGGTGCGCGGTGGCCTCCGGCGGCGATGGACGCGGTGCGCGGTTGGCTCCGGCGGCGATGGACTCGTCCTCTTGTGGCATTGCTCCTTCCCTCACTCTCTCAATATGTTTCTTGGGATCATCTCCCAAACAAACCTCCAGCCCTCAAACCCTAGTCTCAAGATCTACCTCTGGGAATCTAAACCTAAAGGAGACCCTGGCAAACATCTACGATCTGTGAGGCTGGAGTTCAGGAATAGTTGGTGCACAAGCAGGTTAGGCCACTGGCATTGTTCTGACACTCACGAGGATGTGCATTTTCCTGATGATGGGCTCCTCTCTCTGCGCCGCATAGGAATGAGCGTGAGAGGTGAGCCTTGTAGCTGTGCCCCTGGAGACCTGGGGTGGCACGGGGGTGGGCGTGTGGAGGGGGCAGTTCCTGACCCTGTTCCCCAGGTTCTGTGGAAGGTGGGCAGCCTGCCCTACTGACGTCTGTGCTTTCACTCGGGGAGTGGGGGCCAGGACGTGAAAGGCAAGGAGCTCCCTGTGCATCGAGGCAGAGGTCCTCCCCAGCCCCACCCAGTGAACGCTGACTGACCATGAGGAAATGCCAGGTGGATGATGCTGCTGACGTGAGCTGCACTCCCCAGCACACCTCAGACACAAACTCAGAACTCAGTTCACATATGACAGGACTAGAAAATGACCCCACGCAACCAACGACTTTGTAGGACCCTTCTGCAAGACACAATCCGAAACTACTTTAGACTCTAAAGCAGTGGTCCCCAACCTTTTTGGCACAAGCAGCCAGTTTTAAGGAAGAAAATTTTTCCGTGGAACAAGGTAAGGGGGAATGGTTTGGAGATGATTCGAGCACATTACTTTCATTATGCCGCCGCTGAGCTGACCGGAGGCAGAGCTCAGGCAGTGACAAGCCATGGGCGCTGGCTATAAATACAGAGGAAACTTCACTCCCTTGCCCACTGCTCACCTGCTCTGTCTGTGGCCTGGTTCCTGATGTCCAGGTACCAGTTCATGGCTCAGGAGTTAGAGATCCCGCATCCAAGGCCATTCTACGCACTGTAGATGGAAAGAGTTTTATTATTGCTTAGAGATGGTGTGAATGTATACTGTATTTGAGACGTTAAATTTCCTCTTGGTTCGTGATCTGTCAGTTTGTTAAGCTATTTTGTGAAGACCAGAAAGGAATGTATCGCTACACACGACACTTAGACCTTGTCAGATGCCTGTCGCTCTCGGCTAGTCACGCGTTCATCTTCCTAGCTTCTGGTTAATGTCGCACACACAAAAGCATCAGCTCAAGCTGAGAATTCTAAGCCATCCTTCTTTTCTATCCATAGCATATATGGTTCAATAATATTGTATTTCACTTACTCTAGTACATAAAATTTATGTACACAGTTTCTTCCTCGACATTGTTACCATCTCTTCTTAGATTTCGACTTGTAAGGAGAAGTTGGCCTCATTTGAAGAAACTAGCTCTCTTCAAAACACAGTTCCCTATTAGCTGACCAGCCAAACTATCATTTTTCAACATGATAGTTCTCTTATTTTAGAAGTACATTTTAAAGTACAGATCTCATAATTATAGACTTAAGATAATCCTTAAAAACATTCACGTATTTCCTTTCTCATAGAAAGTCCAGTATTGTGGCATTACGTCTTTTGTATGTTAAATATCAGGATGTATATTATTGAATTTCATGCTAGATTTTCAATGGACTTACTGATACATGGGCATTCTGTGTCTTAAATTTCATTGTTTTATATGTATGTAACAGGCATAATATATATTTACACAAATTCTGAAAGAGATGGGAATACCGGACCACCTGACCTGCCTCTTGAGAAACCTATATGCAGGTCAGGAAGCAACAGTTAGAACTGGGCATGGAATAACAGACTGGTTCCAAATAGGAAAAGGAGAACATCAAGGCTGTATATTGTCACCCTGCTTATTTAACTTACATGCAGAGTACATCATGGGAAACGCTGGGCTGGATGAAGCACAAGCTGTAATCAAGATTGCCGGGAGAAATATCAATAACCTCAGATATGCAGATGACACCACCCTTATGGCAGAAAGTGAAGAGGAACTAAAAAATCTCTTGATGAAAGTGAAAGAGGAGAGTGAAAAAGTTGGTTTAAAGCTCAACATTCAGAAAACTAAGATCATGGCATCTGGTCCCATCACTTCATGGGAAATAGATGGGGAAACAGTGGAAACAGTATCAGACTTTGATTTGGGGACTCCAAAATCACTGCAGATGGTGATTGCAGCCATGAAATTAAAAGACGCTTACTCCTTGGAAGGAAAGTTATGACCAACCTAGACAGCATATTAAAAAGCAGAGACATTACTTTGCCAACAAAGGTCTATCTAGTCAAGGCTATGGTTTTTCCAGTGGTCATGTACGGTTGTGAGAGTTGGACTGTGAAGAAAGCTGAGTGCTGAAAAATTGATGCTTTTGAACTATGGTGTTGGAGAAGACTCTTGAGGGTCCCTTGGACTGCAAGGAGATCCAACCAGTCCATCCTGAAGGAGATAAGTCCCGGGTGTTTATTGGATGAACTGATTCTGAAGCTGAAACTACAGTAGTTTGGCCACCTGATGTGAAGAGCTGACTCATTTGAAAAGACTCTGATGCTGGGAAAGATTGAGGGCAGGAGGAGAAGGGGATGACAGAGGATGAGATGGCTGGATGGCATCACCGACTGGATGGACATAGGTTTGAGTAAACTCCGGGAGTTGGTGATGGACAGGGAGGCCTGGCGTGCTGCAATTCATGGGGTCGCAAAGAGTCGGGCACAACTAAGCGACTGAACTGAACTGAACTGATACAATATATAAAATATGTAAATGTATGATGTGTATGTTATTTATAAACATGAGTATGATTGTAACGTGTAATATTATATATATTTTATACACAAATATATTTGTTTCATACAGCATATATGAGATATACTTAGAATATATATCACATATGTATTTATAGACACACATTTGTTACCCATAGCATATATCATACCTATTTATGTCTTGTATATCATATATATGTTTTTTACTGAAGTCGTTGACTTCATTTTCAGCTGTTTCACTTTCTCTCTTGTGTTCATTCTTTAAAAGTCCTCTCCATCCTCACCTCACCTCTGCATCAGGGGATGTGCTTTATTTACAGATTAGGCTCCTGCAGTAACATTTGAAGGACTGATGTGGCATGTAATGTGTTTACTATTCTGTTTAGATAGTAATCAGATCGAATCCTTCCAGAAAGGTCGACTGGTGCTTGGGGAAAAAGCAGCTCACATTCTCATTTCTGTTCTGAAGTGTAATTTACTCTGGTTTTAGGTAAGTTAATCCCACTTTACTTGAATGTACAAAACTTGATAGTTGTTGAGGGCATGTCGCTGAGCTGTGTTTCTGGTTTTGTCACTAGAGTTGACCTTGGACAAGGAACTGCAAACATCTCTCTGCTTTGCTTTGTCCGTGTGAGAAATGAGAATAATAATGTGCCCACTTTACAAAAAGGAGCCTTAATGAGTTTTGCTTTCATGGAGCATTATGAGATCCCAAGGTAAGGGGTGCTGGAGGGCTGACTTGCTGCAGAAATCTAAAAGTGCTGTTTCATATGGTATTTTAGAGATTTCTCCCAGGGTTGCAGTGATCTCAGACTATCAGGTTTTTTGAGTTGTGAAGGAAAGGATTTGGAACCTACCAGGAAGACATGGGAATTTGAGTTAAATTTTCCTATTTGCTCTGGATCCGAGTTTTCTGTACACTTATGTGATTCTGTGAAATTAATTAGCTTGGATATTCCCCGTAAAAACAAAAATGAAGCCTGAAAATTATATCTGTCACCTTTCTAACAAAGTTTGCCCAGTGCCCAGATGGCCAGTGTTCAGGCAAGGCCAGCAGTAGAAGGAAGAGCGTGGTGATGGTGAAATGAACCGCTATCCTGGGAGCCTTCCCTGTGGGTGTGGGTTACAACAGGGACAGGAGCTGATTATGAGTTTCTGCAGGAAATTGTACAATAAGAATCATGATGGTCTTATATCTGTAATAAAACAGTCACCATTAGTCTACAAATTTGGCTGATTCTCATGATGACTTCAGGAAAATCACTCTGCACCTCTGTATCTACCGCTGACAAGAGCAGATGAATGTGTAAATATAACCCAGGCTTTGTCTTGCCAGCAGCCAGTAGTGTGAGCTGGATGAACTGGTTATCTGCTCACTGGAGCCCCTTCTCCAGGCTCCCCTCCAGCTTTTCCCCAGTCCCTCTGTCCTCCTTGCTGCTGCTATCTCCTCCCTGGAAACACTCCCAAGCCTTTCCTGCCTGAAGCCCCCTCCAGGCTGGCTGTGGTCTACAGCTGTCATCCTATACCCTACATTCGAGCTGGAGTACATTTACCAGGGTTTTTTTAAACAGCAATGCCCTTCACTCTCCCTTTATCAAACCAGTCCCTTTGCCAGCAAACGCTCTTTGCTCATCACCATCTTACAGACGCTAAACTCCTGCATCTGCTCCAAGGCTGTGAGCCTTCCTGGGAAGCCCTGCATTCTGGCAGACAGGTCCTCACTCTGCCTACCCCACCCCACCCCCAGCGCTCCCTCACATATCCTTTCTGCCTCTCACACCGCACAAGCTGTCTCTACCCTCCTGCCTTTCATCTTCCTTCCCCAGCTTCCACCTGAACCAGGCACATGTATCTACTGAATGAGTGAATTGTATCTCAGATATGCAGTATACAGACATTCTCTTAAACCTGATTGGAGGTAGAGCTTCCAATGAGCCTCATTTTAGGTGAGAGCTTTAGAGGAGACACTGGACTCGCCTGAGGTCCTTGTGCTACACTCAGGCAGGGACCCACGGGACTCAGGTTTCACAGATCCCATTTTGGTGACATGATAGCACAAGGCTGTGGTCAGGAGATGCTGACATGTGTAATCACAGAGTGTTCTAGCTGGAATGGGTCTTACTGAGGTCACTTGTCTATTCTTAGATAACCAAGTAAGGAAACCGAGGCCAGGAGGGTTGCGTCTTTCTCCAGGTAACACCAGAAGGTTGAATCAGAACTGAAATCAGAACCTGAAATCCCCTAACCACTGTCAGGCTACTCTTGACCTCCAGCCATGGCTCTGCCGGACACCTTCCCTGCTGTTCAGCAAGGACAGGGGTGGTGGGAGGAAGGGCACGATGTTCAGTGCTCTTCCATCAAATGACAGCAATAGGATCAGAAGGAAGTTGGCTGTGATATTTTTTAAAAATTTATTTATTTTTAATCGGAGGATAATTGCTTTACAATATTGTCTTGGTTTCTGCCATACATCAACATAAATCAGTCATAGATATACATATGTGCCTTACCTCTTCAGTCTCCCTACCAATTCCCACCCATCCCACCCCAGTAGAGAGCAAGTGGGAGTTTGCTGTATGATGCAGGGATCTCAAACCCGTGCTCTG